AAAAGCTGGTTTGTCTTACCTCTATTCATACTCATAGACACTAGAGCTCAGATCATGAAAAGACATGGTCCCTTCCCTTTATGTTCAAGATATATATGGATCACCTGGACACATTGCAGTTTCTAGAGGTCTGATCAGATGTGGTTGGAACAATTTCCTCCATGGTTAACTGATCTATAGGTTCTCTGAATTCCTTCTTTAACATGGACTTCAAAGATGTGATACAAATAGACAACAGCCTCAACTCTCCCCTGAATTTTTTCTGGCCAAGTCTCTGTCTTCTGGCTRCCTGGTTCTTTAATTATTTGGACCATTCCTTGTCCTATTTATTTGCCCAAGTTTCAATCACTTTGCAATATCTTCCCCTGTTTTGTGTTCCCTGACCTCTAAATACCTTCTCAGAGGAGGCTTCCCTTGGGTCAGTAGAAGCTGAGGACATCAGGGTTTAAAATCAATCACCTAATTGGTTCAGAAGAGGCAGGACATAGTGGTACCATGTGCCAGGCACAGTTCAAAACATCAGGCCCAGGGGAAGCCATTGTCCATCTAACCCCATATTGAATATCTGTATAATTGTTTATCCTTTTCTGTATCTTAACTCCCTTGGCGTTTTCAACATACATTCCCTGTCTCCATCCAGACCCCCTGTGACAAGTTCAGTGACTTGGCTTCTAAGGGATGACAGTGGTGTCCTTGTCTATAGAAGGTYTTGAATCCCATTGGCCTTTCTGGGTCCTAGTTTTTGCCACTCTTATTCTTCACTAGTGCTCATCCAATCCTGTATCCTTCGTGGAATAACACACTTCTGAATGTGGCGTCCAAACTTCTTTCTATCTTTCAGTGACCACTAACAGCACTACCACTTTCAGGACACAAAGTGGACCCCTTATCTGTTGAGTGCAATTAATACTGTTAGAGCTAAAATAATAAAATTCCAAATWTCCTGTATTCTAAAATCAACTTATGGTAGGATGCACCACGCTTTAATGACTGCCTCAAGATCTTCCAAAMCACAGTACCACATTACAGGTGCCTATTGAAAATACACTCTGATTTTAGAAATATTAAAAATGTGGGAATAAAGAACCTGTACCTTGGGCTGGGATTGTGGCTCAGCGGTAGAGTACTTGCCTAGTATGGGCGGGACCCGGGTTTGATCCTTAGCACCACATAAAAATAAAATGCATTGTGTTGTGTCCATCTACACCAAAAAATAAATATTAAAAAAAAAAGAATCTGTACCTTAGAATCTAGGGAAGGCTACAGTTGAACCGTTCTGTTTGTTTAATTAACTATTCACATCAGTCAGTCTGCCCCATTCAATAGCCCTACCCCTCATTCTTTATTATTCTTTATTATAAATGTAAGCAAAAGTAAACATGGAAAACAATCATTGTCTTCAGTACTATTCCCAGACTCCAGCTGCCTCTGGACATGAACCCCTCAAGCATTATTCTCATGGGCCCTTCTTACAAAGTAGTTCCCCCTTATCTGAGGTTTTGCTTTCTGCAGTTTCAGTTACCTTTAGTGAACCATAGTCTGAAAATATTACATGGAAAATTCCAGAAATAAACAATTCACTAGTTTTAAATCACTTTTCTTATAATATATTGTCATAATTTTTCTAGTTTAGTTATTGTTGTTAATTTCCTACTGTGTCTTAAATTGTAAATTAAACGTTATCATAGGTATGTTGTGTATAGGAAAAAAACATAGTTTATATGGATTTGGTATTCTTCGTGGTTTTGGGCATCCACTGAGGGCCTTGAACATAACCTTCCTGCAGATAAGGGCAGGACTACTGTACATCCTTCCTCCAGTCTTTCCTGCATATCCTTTATAAATATGAGCTAATGCTGAGCATGATGGTGCATGCCTGTAATCCTAGCAAATTAGAGGCTGAGACAGGAGGATCACAAGTTCCAGGTCAGCCTCAGCAATTTAGGAAGACCCTGTCTCAAAATAAAAAGGGCTGGAGATATAGCTCAGCCCAGTACCACAAACAAAACAAAATACCCCCACCCCCCAAACCCACGAGTTTATCAGATCACTTCTTCAGCAAGCATTCTAATGTTTTCTTTTTCTTCCTTGAAATCACTGATTTTACAAGAACATATATTTCAAGTCATCTTTCTTGAGCTTTTATTCCCTATTTCCTGCCCAGTCTCATGTACATATGATGTCTTTGTCTTCACATGAGGTTAGTGAATGCAGTTGCCTTCTCTGGCTATTACAATTTCAAGGGTGCTGTGGTCACTTACTTCAAGTTGACTGTCACTTCTACTTTGCTAACACATTCTTTTTAGCTGGTTAGAATCAGGCATAAAATAGTATTTCTTCAATAAGCAATTAGTTTAAATTTAAATAGTGCCAACTTTATTTGATGCTCGATTTTCAACAGAACAATATTGTCAGTTGATGATGTCAGATCAATTGAACTTCTCCACTACACTCCTATGCCAATAGTTTTGTCATCTTTACTTGGAAAGCATTATTGAATGCTGCCATAACRGGATCACAGGCATGCTAGAACTAGTTGACAGAATATGGCCAGTGGAGAAAGGGTGTGAGTCAAGACCAGGGTGGGGGTATTCCCAGGGCCAGACTGTGAATACAGGAGCTGGCCTGGATTAGGGAAGCTAGGCTGTGCAAGATCTGGTGTCCCATACCAAAGTAAAAATTCAGAAAGCTATTAATACCAAGCAGTCCAGACTTACTCCAGCAGCAGGTTACCCATGAAGGGTAAGGGACCTGTGTCCATGGTCTAAGATGATCACAGCAAGAGTGTGGGTAATAGAATATAGCCCCCTGGGGAAGAGGACTGGTCAAAGCTGAGCTAAACAAGACATCAAAATCATGGTGAAAGTAAGTTAGGGACCAGGACAGGCCCCCACATCTCAGGACTGAGATCTAGATGCAAGGCACAATGGCCAGAAAGGAGTGTGTCATGTTGGAGGCCAAGAATTGGGCAAACACGGCCGGAAGACATAGTAGGAGGGACCTACATGTGTTCCAGGCTCACAGCTGACCTGCCTGGAAGGAAGCAAGGTGGTAGGGGCCCTTATCCTTGATGCACTTTCTTCCAGTTAGAACTGGCCTCTCAGTGTTGGCAGGCTGGGGAGTCAGACCTGTAGGTGGAGCTTCTTAAAACAATCCAGCTGCTGGTTGCTAGGGAAGTCAACTGGCCTGGTGCCTCATTACATATTCCTGGGACAATGTCACTTCTGCTTTTATTTTCACCCAAATGTTCTCCACCAGGTGTCAAACCTCAGGTTTGTGGGTTTCCATATGTATCCATGACTTCATTACTGACAAGGTCATGCTCCCCCACCTCCTACTGTGTTTTCTGGATGAACAAGTGATATATCCTCATATTGCTGTAATACAACAATGACTAGGAGTTATTGACTGCTGATCACGTCCCAGGTACCATGCTAGCTACTTTACATGTTACCTTATTTAATTCCCACAACCTCCTTTAGAGTAGTTATTGTTACCTCTATTTTTAAAAAGAGGAAACTGAAGCTTATATGGTTTATATCAGCAGCCCAAGTTCACACAGCTGAGATGCAGAAGAGCTCAGATTTAAACTTAGCCTTTTCTGTCTGCTTATCCACTGCTTCAAATGTCTACATTTATACAGTGACATGCCCAAACCATTTTCACTAAACTTATAAGTCACTAGTTTTTTTTTTTTTTTTTTGTCTACCTACCTACCTACCTCCCAGAAATCTAACCTCTTTAACTCCATATTACCACGGATTGCCCTATGCAAGAAGTAGATCCTTAATACATACTTACTGAATGAATGAATATAGTTCGAAATGTGATTAACTGCACCACTCAGTTCTCTCTTGATTTGGGTATTTATAAAGCCAACTAGTAAGAATTCTTCATTTTGCTCTAGATGAAATCATGAGTTGCTTAAGGATGGGAACACATTCTGAGAAATGTGTCCTTAGGTAATTGTGTCATTTTGCAAACTCCTAGAGTGTACTTATACAAACCTACATGATACAGCCTACTACCCACCTAGGTTAYACGGTGTATGTGTGTGTGTATGTAGATATGCAAGTGTACATGTGCATTCACACACACATATGTAAGATAGCCTATTGCTTCTAGGCCATGATAGAAGAAAAAAGACTAAATCAAATATGAGAAAAAGACGTATGAAACCGATGCTGGTGTAACAGCAAACTCTTTTACTGTCATTTTTTAAAAATAAGAAATATACTCAAAAATAGTAGTAYAGTATAATAGATACATAAACTGGTAATGTAGTTGCTTCTCATTACCAAGTATTGGTACTGTACAAAATTGCACGTACTGTACTTGTATCCGACTGGCAGGACAGTAGGTTTGTTTACACTAACGTCCATGAGGAATACGGTGTTCTGATGGCTGCAACATCACCAGGCAACAGGAATTTTTCAGYTCTATTATTATAATCTGATAGGACCACCATTGTGTATGCAGTCTGTTGTTAACCAAAATGCCATTTTGTGGTGCAAGGCTGTACTATAACCATGAACATGTCCATTACCAGGAAGAGAAAGCAAAGCATTACTGAACTGAAGAGACATACTTTATTACCAAATTAAGTCAGAGGTAGGCAAATGTGTTTATATGTTCAAGTAAATTTGAGAGTTTAAAATAAAGATAGATATATACATATATACACACACAACACATTATTGTCTTTATAAGTCCAAATCTGAATATTGTTCTCATCATCTTCATGTGTGTCTAAACCAGATGTTGCTAATATACTGCCCATAGTCCAAATCCAGCTCATGCCTTGTTTTATGTGGCCTGTGAGCTAAGGATTGTTTTCACATTTTTAAAACAGTTGGGGGTAAAAAAAATCAAGAAAAGAACTATACTTCATAACATGGGGAAATTATGTGAAATAAACACTACAGTGTACTTGAATAAAGTTTTATTGAAACAACTGGCTTGCTCATTTACCTATCACTATGGCTATTTTCTCACTATAGTGGCAGAATGGAGTAATTGAGAAAGACTGCATGGCCAGGAAAGCCTAAAATACTTCCTGTCTGGCTCTTTATAGAAAATGTTTGCTGTCCTCTGGTCTAACTAAATAACACAGGATGTCACAGCATTTTTAGTATCGCTTAAAGTACATGTATTATTTTAGTTTCTAAAATTTCTACTTCAAGGACACTTTGTTGTAGATTTCCATGTTCTCCCAACCAAGTCAACCTTTTTCTCTGTGATATTCTTTATGGCTTCTGCTGATAGCAGCCAACACCTTTATGCAGAGTCAATAACAAACTGAGAAGCTGGTGGCTTCTGTAAGAGGTTCTTACAGAATTTAGGGCATGGAAATGGATTCCCCAGATTCCATCAACTGATTCAGGGTGGTGTGATGGGATCGGATAGACGAGGGAAAGCAAATTGCTCTTTTTGTCATCACTCAGGACCTAAATAAAGATAAAAAAATGACTCAGATTGACCAGGCACAGGTATCACCTATCAAAATATTTTTGGAAGGCAACAACATGGTACTGTGAACGCCCTATCCCGTGCCAGCTTGAGAGCAAACAAAGGGTGCAGGACTCCCTACTGCCTAAGATCAAGTTTAGTTTGTGGTAAACTTCAAGGGAATCTGTTTTATTTGTTTATTTTTTAATTTTTGGAGATCCAAACATAAACTCTTTTGTCTTTCTGTGTGTCTGCTTTTCTCTCTGTGCATATATTTCTTTCCAAAATTTAACACAAATTTACTGATCATTTATCATGTGTGATGTATAGGGCAAGGCTCTGGGATACAAAAATATATAAAATAAGCTCCTGAAGCTTAAAGTTTATAACAGAAATGAGTTATGATGCTCCTTCTTGATCYTCATCAGTGAATAAGGACAAGTCCATCCACCTTAACACTCTTGGCTTCTGTGGCATTGTGTTCTCCTAGTTTTATTTTTTGGGTTTCTGGGGTCTCCAGTGCCAGATCTTTCTTTTCTGTTCAATCTCTACATGTTCAGGGCTTAGTCCTAGTGCCACTTTTTTTTTTATTCTATCTGCCCTCCCTAGGCAATCTGCTCCCAAATTCACCTCTCCAGCAATTCTTCTGAGCTCCAGAACCATATCTACAAGTCTACAGTGGACATCTCCACTTCTGATTTTCCCCTGCAATTCTGTGACTGACCATCTTGCCGGCAGACACTTCTGCTCATGTGTCCCATCATGGAAGAATTCTTAAGCCCACCATAACAGTAACTCCTTCCCCCTACACCATCCCTACACAGTCATTGAGTTCTTGAAAACAGCTGTTTGACTCTAATCATTTGTTCCTGTGCACATCACTGCCTTTACCTGAGTAACCATCATCTCTCACACAAACCACTAGAGTGCCCTTTCAACCAGTCTTTCTACAAATGCTCCTGCCCTATTGTATTTGATCTTCCCACAGTTAATGTGTTTCTGTAAAACTTCTTTCAAAAAGATACAGTGTTAGTCAAGTATGTGTGTCATTTTTAACTTTTTTACTTGGTAATGTATTGTAAAGATCTTTTCACATCAGTATAGCTAGAATTGCCTCACAAATTTTAATAACTGCCTACCTTTCACTTGTATAGCTCTACTATCATTTATTTAACTGCTTCTCTATTGATGGCTGTTTTCAGTCTTTAATGATTATAAAGAATGCTTTACTGAAGGTTCTAGAAGAGTCATCCTTCAAAATATGTTTGAGCCTATTTATTGGATAAATACATAAAAGTAGAATTGCTAAGTCCAAGGCGTTGCATTTAAAACTGTGATAAATATTGCTAAATTGCCCTCCACAGAGGTTGTACCAACTTCTCCTCCACCAAATATATAAGAATGCACCTGCCTCTCAGGCTGGCCAACCAAGTATGTTATTAAATGCTAGGATTTTTGTCAACCTAATATATAAATAATATGTTTCAATGCAGTTGTAAGTGCATATCTATAGGTATGAGAAAAGGTAAGTGTTTTTACATATTTTTAAGATCCTTTTGTACTTCTTGAACTGAAATCTGTTTATCACACCGTTGGCCSAGTTTTCCAGAGTTTTTTATATTTTTCTTATTGGTTGATGGAAATGCTTTGTTCTAATCTAATTTCCAGTTCCCATCAGATATCCAGGTGTTTTTAAAAAGTTACAATTTTGTYCATTTTTAATTCTAATAACAAGTAATTATCAAGGGGGTAAATTCCACGATGAGAGGCCCAAACATAGAGCTTATGAATCCATTTGTGCAAGTACCGACTTCCTGAAATGGCTTGACAAGACCACAATGTGTGTCTGTCCACTCTACTTCATGTCGTTCTCCTAACAGCTCATGGAGACATGTACTATTATTAACCATAAAGTGAAGTTCAGAGAAAGAGAATGTCCAGGGTCACACAGCTAGTAACCTTCTCTTCTGAAATCTTCAAAGCCTAGCAATCCATCATCACTGGCCACTCCTCAGCACACCAGACTCTGTTTCCTTGATGCTTTTAATTTCTCCTGATCTGTTCACTTTCTTTCCTTCTACAAACATCCAGTGGACATTTTAAGTACCTACTATGTGTCAGGAATCCTCATGGAGTTTATATTTTAAAGGAGTCCTCAACCATAACCAATAAAAACAAATGGTAATAAAGTCTCAGCAATAAAGTTGTATTACTGTGAAAAAAAAATTCATTGCATGGTTGGAAAGGTGGRCAGAGAAGGGTACTTCAGGCAGAAGTGGTTAGGAAGCGCCACTTTGAGTAGATAACATGTAAACAAAGATCAGAAGGACCCAAAGGATATTCCAGGAAAAGTAAGTCCTTTGAAACAAGAGGAAACTCAGTGTGTTTGAGGAATAGAAAAAAGGCTGGTGTGTTTGGAGTCTGGGAGAGTGGTTGGGGATGAGGTTGAAGAGGTGGTCTCAGATGCCACGCAGGGCTTTGGAGGCCAGGAGAGGAGTCTGGACTTTATTTCAGGTGAARTCAGAAGACACAGAAGGATTCTAAGAAGAGAAGCGAAATAATCTGATTTATGTTTTATAACGTATGATTTATGTCTCTAGCTGTGCTGTGGAGAATGGGGACAAGCGTGGAAGCAGGAAAACCATTTAGAAAACTATTACAGGAACACAGGAAGGAGATAATGGTGGTCTACATCYGGGTGGTAGCAGTAGAGATAGAAATGCTTTGGAGATAGAATTGACCTGAATTCCTCAAGGACTGGACATGAAAATGGAGGRAAAGAGAAAAACAAAACAAAGAAATCTACTTCTTGTCTAGCTTGAGCAATTGGTGGATGGTGAAACCACATAATTTGAAGACGGCTAAAAGAATCTGAAATTCCATATTATTTCCCCTTTTTTCCTAGATAGCCTGAACCTCATAGACTATGAGTTTAAAAACAAACAAACAAAAATACTTCCAAATATCTTTATTTTCCTTTCCTACTTGCCCTTTCGTCCTTCTTATCTAAGAGAACATCCTCTAGCCACTTCCTCTGCTCTCATCTATTCCTCAACCCACTGCAATCTGGTTACTATCCCCTTTTATCAATATAGTTCTTGCCAAAAAACCAATGACCTCCTTGTGCTAAATCCAAGACTTTTTCAGTCCTCATTTCTCTTGGTCTCTCTCTAGCATTTAATACTGTTGGTATTTCCTCCCTTGGCTCCTGAAGCTCTCCTTGCTCCTGGTCCTAGCTCTCTGGCACATGTTAGACAAGTACTCTACCACTGAGCTACATCCTCGGCCTGTTTTATTTTGAGACAAAGTCTCCCTAAGTTGTCCAGGCTGACTTCAAACTTGCCATCCTCCTGCTTCAGTCTCCCAGGGAACTGGGATTACAGGTGTGCATCATCATGCTCGGCTGTTCCCTACACTTCTAAATGTTGGTGTTTTCCTACGGTTCTATAGCAGGTCCTCTTATTTTCTCTCACTATCCCTTCTGTCTCGGGGATTTCCTCTACTTCTATGGAACTATACTTATTCTAATGACTCTCACATAGATCTCTCTCCTGAGTTCTAGATCAATCTGTTCAATTATGTAGAAGACAGCTTCACTTTGACATCCCATGGACACTTCAAATGCAACATGTTTAAAATTAATTACTTTCCTCCCTCAACCTGCTTTTCCTCATAAGGTCCCCATCTTGATGAATGATACCACTGTTCTCCCATTTACCTGAGCCATAAATCTCTCCTTATTCTTTAATCCTGCAGATATAATCAACAATCAAATTCCCTGACTCTATGCCTAGAACGTTTATTGAGTCCTTTGCTTCTTTCCATCTTCATTTTTGCTGCCTTAGGTTAGATGTCCATCTTTTATTTCCCATAGTGTTAAAATAACCTCTTAACTAGTCTCCCTGCTCACAATATTACTAATAAATTCTGCAAACTGGAGTGCTCTTTTTAAAATGAACATTTGATCACTTCATGCTCCTTAAAATTAATTGATGGCTTTCCATTGGCCTCAAGATAAGGTCAAATGTTTGAGGAAGATAGACAAAATCTTTCACATTACAAAACTGTGCTGATCTTTCTGGATGCATCCTTCAGGATTTCTGCCATGCATTTGTACAATGTGTTCATTGAGAACCTTTTATCTGCTGGGCACTGGCCTTTGCCTTCAAGTCTTTGGGCACACCTTTTTACTTTAAGGTCTTCACACAGCACTTTCTTTGCCTGGAACACCTTCCCTTTGACTCGCCCAGGTGTCTGGATCACTTCTACTCATCCTTCCGTACTCCTCTCAAGATTCATCTTCTGAGCTCCGGTACCTATGAGCCCCCCTGAAGAAACCACCTCCCCGTGTACTCATCTGCCTCCTCATTATGCTATAAGCTCCTGCAAGTCAGAGACTGTAGTCTTATTCATCTTTGTATTCCCAAGGCCTAGCCCTGTGCCTGACCCACAGCAGGCACTCAATAATGAATAGATAAAGGGGCAGAGTTGGGTTTCAAAGTCAGGATTTTTCTTTCTGCCACAAATTTCACATTTCTTCATGCTATTTCTTAATATCTCAGATCTGAAAATTCTAAAATCTGAGTCACATATGTTTTTACCTCTTACAAATTAAAATACAGGCAAAAAGCTCCATGAGGATTCAGCTAATTATTTCTTATATAGCTCTTTCTCTGTCATTCCTCCACTTTATTCATCAAAGTACTTTGGCTTCACTACATCTAAAATAAGGAAGAGGCCTTTTTCTACACTTTTATATGTTTTGAACTTCCTACCCTGGTGCTTCCCTACCAACATCAGGCAAAGAGGGAGTAAATAAGTCAGGAGCAAGGTAGTTTCTATTTATCTGGCAACTGACACTGAAGTCTGATGGATCAGCAGGGAATCATTCCCATAATCATTTATCTCAGTGTCTCTATAGATAGGTATTAAAGGTTCAGTGCTAAAATTTTAACTTTGCAAAATGTAGCTAAAATTGAAATTATGTAGTGAGGTCAAAGAATTTTGTAAATGCAAAGAAACTTACAGGTCCTTTAGTCTAGCACTTTTAGTTATGCTTCCATAAGAGAAACTCACTGAAAGAACTCTAGTAGCTAGCCAAAATTCATTGAGTTTGTAGAAGTGGGAGCAAGTTTCCCAACTTTGAGTGGGCAATCTTTTCTTCATGCCACATACAACTTTTCCAAGGGGCTTTTTAAATATATCAATCACATCAGAACCCAAGTACTTGCATAATCTTATGTTTATGATATTGCCTTTGTGATACTGTTTTTATAAAGGGAAAGGAATGAGATGGGAAAAATCCACAAAACAAGGTTATCTTTTCCAGGGACATAGGAGACTTGGTAAAAGAGATGATTGGTACACAAAGTGATGAGGTTTCCTATTGATAGCGTAGTCCTGTAATTACACTTTGTTCTCTGAGTGCCACAGTGCTAACCCTAATTTATTTGTCCTTCCTGGGCCTGGATTCCATTCAGTTCTATGCCTTATTTAGTCAAAATGACTTCCCCAGTTTCCATGTGTATTTTTTTGTGCTTCATTTTAGAAATATCATATTTAAATCTGTTTTCTACTTGAGTTTGTTTTAGTTCCAATGCTGAAGACTGAAGATTCTGGGTAAAAGAAATAAAGATGATGTGGGTTTCTTTTTTTTTTTTTTTTTTTAGTCTTTACATTTCAAGAATGGTTTTCTTAATAAAGTAGGTTGGCAGTCTACCTTATTCCTCAAATGATGACGTTTTCCATGGGAGTTAGCATTTAATTGGGATAATTTGTTTTCAACGGAAAGCAGAGGTTTCTTTCCAAGAGGACCAGTTTGATAATGTTTTACCAGCTAGTGCTTTGAGACCAAATATAAACCAGTTCTGAGAAACAGGAAGTGAACCTGACTGGTCTAGTCTGAGTGTCCCTGGCAGTGACGCAAATACAGAAATCAAATTAGGAAAACAAGATATGTGGGTGTGAGGCAATCGATAATAATCCAGGATGCTACAACATAGCAAGAAAGTCTTTAACCAAATGCCATTCATTTTAATAACACCCTGAGCAGTTTGATTTCCACCTAACACGCTGGTGATTAGAGAGCAGGATGAGCTTGAGTTCCCTAGCAACCGCATGTGCTTTTGAGACAGTCATTAGCCTTTCAGTTAATCCCGTCAACCCCTTACTTCTAAATGTATGACTGACATTTAAAAAAATTATGTTTCAGAAAGTGCTTTCTGAATTTTCTAGAAATGAAATGGAAAGGAATACTAGTACTTACAATAATAAAATAGTTACCCTGAGAATTGTATGGGGTGGGGGGAGTGATGTTCCTCTGTGCCCAGCCTGGCCCTAGATTTCGCTGCTGTCAATGCTAGGTTTCTGAATCCCCTGGGGGTAAAGGGCAACGGAGATGTAATCCTTCAGAGTTTAAGGCTGTCTCCTCCTGCAACATGGAACAGTACTGAAACCTCTCTCAGAAGCTCAGCTCTGAAGGTGGGGTGAGCCAGGGGTGTGCTGTTTGCAGTTTGCTTGATGAAGAGGCTGATGGGGGCGGGGGCTTGGTGGGAAGGAATGTAACAAATTTTCTTTCTCCTTTAAACCCAAAGAATTACCCTGGTCGAAGGAGCCTGGTGAAGGAGGGTGGTGAGGGGAGTGAAGCTCTTTTCCTATTGATTGTTTAATTGCACCAGAGGTTGTTTTTTCCAGGGCCATTGGCCAAGAGCATTATTTTTGTGGCTAAAGTGAGGTTGGGCAGGTTTCCCATCCCCTTCCCTAGTTTTCAATAAGACAACCCAGAAAGCGCAGCAAGGCTAGGGGAATATGGGGTATGTTGGCTTTTGCCTCTCAGCTGGACCCTAAAGCGCCAGGGCTGACGGGATGATGTTTCTCCAACCCTGAATCATTGCCTCCAGCGTAGCCCTGAGTTCGGGATGCACAACTCCACCCTCTGTGTAGCCAGGACCAACTAAGGGGCGTTATTCGAATAGTAATTATTGCTGCATTTGGCTTGCCATCCTTATTATGGCCTGGGTCCCTTTCAGCTAGACACTGGGCTCCTTCGGTTGGGCCAGGCTCCCTCCAGATGCTCCCGTCGCCCCACCTAACCCCACTGCGCGCTCCCTTCCCAAGGCGACCACCTGCGCCGCCCGACTTACCCTCGGCCCCTAGGGGAGGGCCCCTCGGGGTAGCGGAGCCCTCCCTGCTCCCGGGCGGCTCTGGGGGAGCTCGGTGTTTGCCTCCAGCCCTTCGCTACCGGAGGATCAGGTTCCTCCCCTCCTCCCACTCCAGCTCCGGCCGCCGCCGCCTCCTTCTTGCATGACACAGCAGAACCGCAGCTGCTGCAGCAAGTCCAAACCATCCGCCCAGGAAGCGCCGCAACCGGGACTCGGGAGGGGCGGAGGGGGCGAGGCAGTGGCCCCAGCCCGGGGGGACACTTGGCCCCACTTTACACTACACACTCCTTTCCTAGGCCAGGGGCACTCGAACAAAATACAGCTCAAGCTGACCAGGCCGAGCCGGGGAGCTATGCTGGGCTTGGCCGCAGAAGGGTTAGGACCAGAGAGAAGGGTGTGAAGGAGACCCGGGTAAGGGGCAGATCATTTCAGGTAAAGAAAGGTAAGAAGGCCCCGAAGTCAAGGGCCAAACTGTGAAGGAGAGGAAAGGAGGTCAAAGAGAGGTAAGGAGGTAAAGTTGCTGAGAAGAGAGACCAAATGGGAAAGGGGTGGGGGTTGGGGATCTGCAGGGTTAGGAGGACTGGGAGGGAGTATCTGGGGAGGCCTGAGSTAGGCGCCCAGGAGGAAAAAGGGCTGAATTGGGAGGCAGGAGCAGAAAAGGAAAAGGAGGAAAGAACTAGGCATGAGATTGGAAGGTAAAAATTGGGGGACTTATAGAATTAGAAGGGAGGTAGTGGCGATCATTTATCATAGTAGGTAAACTGATGAGCTGGAAAGGGAGATAGTTAAGGTAAGGCCAGAAGAAAGGATGATCTTCCATTTCTCTGTTAAGTTTCCTGTGAAGTTTTTCTCCCCCATAATTGCGCCAACCCAGTTTTCCTTATAAAATGGAAAATAATGAACCAAAACGCAGAAATAGCTATCTAGCCTAGATTTATAGGATAACATCTCCTGGTCCATAAAAACTTTTAAGACAGAGACCTGGAATTTAAGGTAGAAACTCCTAAAAGGTTGTGAGTCAATAATGCCAAGAGTACGTACTCAAAAGGGCTACCGTTTCCACACATTTAGGACTTGAATAAGTCTTTCAAAGTTGTTTGTCAAATACTTAAGTTAAATGCCAGAAATGAGGACAAAATAAGTGGTTCAAAATATCATTAAAATGCACATGTTTCTCTCTCTGCACACACGCACACACAATTTCTACTGTCTAGCATGTACAGCATGATTAAGGGATAAGTATATTTTTCTGATTATTTCCCACTAAACACGCATCTTACAGCAGCCAGTCTTCTTGTCACCATTTGAAAGAATGTGGTCAGAAAAGTAATGCAAAAACTGCTAGTTTGGTTTTGTCTGTACCTTCCAGGTCATATCTTCATACCTCACTTCCTGACACAAACAAGTTTTTACTGTTGTCAGCAACAAAGCCCTAATATAGCTGCGGAAGAGAAAAACTGCATTGCATTTGTCTCCTGCGAGCATCGACACAGTTACCAGAGGAATGTAATTCCAGAATGCTTTAAAACTGGTGATGATGGTAATTATGTATCAAATGCCTGATTCTATTTGCTATTATTGTTTTGGCATTTCTGTTCTCCCACTGATGTTGTGACTGAACTCGCAGAGAGACAAATCCGCTTTTTCTTTCTGACTTTGTAATATTCAGTTAGGCCTGATAGAAAACTCATTGCTCTTGGAGGAAATAAAGTAGGAGCCACGAAATGTCATTTTAACAGAGCGTGGGTTTTGTGACTGTAGGAAAGGATTTAAGGACGCTCCTTCTGTTCGGCTTGCTATGTAATGAGCACGGGCTCCACGCACGCACCGACGCCACAGCTCCCGGATGCTGTGGCTCCCTTATCTGGGCTTCTGCAGCGCCAGRAGCCCCTTCGGGATGCTGCGAGGGGCTCCCGGTGAGTGGTGGTACAAACGCTGCGGCCGCCGCCGCCGCCGCCAGTCCTGCTGCTGTTGTTGCTGCTGCAGTCACGTGGGAGCCCCTTTAAGTTTCCATAGAGAGGCCTCTCCGGTGTCACATGATGGACATGATATAATGAAACAACATTGTGGAGAGGAAAGCATTAGGGGAGCCCACGGCTACAAAAACAAGTGAGTGAGAAGAGGTGGGAGGAAGAGAAACTACGCCACCTCCCCTGCAGCCGAGCGCACGCAGCAGCCTGGCGTGACAAGTGGGCGACGCCGGGGGGGCAGGGAACCGGGGGTCCTTGGCCCTGGCCGGGGACCTCGCCGCCCACCAGCGGAGAATAAGTTTTAGCCGGCAGCCCCAGCCAGCCCTGCACCTGTCTCCAGCGTCTCCATCGCTCCTCGTGATCATCGAAGGGAAATTCTAGAAGAATTTGCTTCACAAATCTACGTGCGCATCATTTTCTCCGCCGCGTCTCKTTCGGGAGGAAGGAACGAGAAAGGGATTCGAGCGGCGGGCGTTCTGCCCGAAGGTAAGTTCGGTAGGGTGGGGAAAGCGGGTCCAGCAGGACTTGGAGACGAGAACTCTGTTCTCTATTGCAATCTCAAGGGGTGTAAAAGGGGTCCCCAGAGTCCCGGAGAGGCAGCTGGGTTTGCTAGTCCATTCGAGATATTTCCCCCGTGGAGTCTCGTTAATTTCCCCCTTCGCACGCCCCGCGTTCCCACCCCCGCGCTCCCCTGGGCCCCTTCGCCGGCTCGGGAAAGGGTCTGCAGTTCCCGGCCAGGATGTTCGGCTGGCGAGCCCGGGAAGGTAGGACTGTGGCGTGAAACGGGCCTGTCGGAGCTATTTCGCCATGTTTGTGTTGCTAAGAGCACTTTTTTCCCCTTTGCGGTGGCTGGATGCCACATGGCTCCTCCGAGCTGCTGCCGGGTAGAGAGCGAGTGTTCTTTTTTTTTTTTTTTTTCAATGTCCGCATTCCAGCTAATGTTGCGCAGATAAAATTCAAACTTGAGGTAAACAGAAGAGGAGGAGGAGGAGGGGAGGGACCGCGGCGGGAGGGGGGGCTGTTTCCATTTCGAGATCCCACCTCTTCACTCCGCGGAGACCAACATCCCGAACCTAGAGCTAACTCTAGCCTTTCTCCCACGTCCCCCACCTTTGCTGTCAGCAAGAAATAAGGCGGGGGGCGTGCTTACTGGAAAGGACGCCAGGTCTGGGTTCTCCGGAATAAAAGCACCCCCTTGGAACCCAGACCTTTGACTCGGTCCGGCTTTTCGCCGGAGGGACGCAGGATGGCTGGGTTTGCTCTGGAGATGGGGGACGGGAGGGTGCGAGCGCTCCCGGGTGGGGCGAGGGGTGTCTGTCCCCGCGCAGTCCCGGTGACTTCAGGATACTAGACCTTTTCACTTTCACCCCACCCCAGGCGCAGGTCTCCCCGCAGGCGGGGTGGGTGGGGCTCCAGGTTTCCAGAAGACAGGTTACCTAGCAGGTGTTTGGGGTGGGCATTTCTTGTCCGTGAGTCTTGCATTTGGTAGGACTGACGTGGGGAGTCTTAAAGCGAGCGTTTGAGTAGAACTGCGTTTTCTGCCCCCCCCCCAGATTAGGGAGAAAAATCAAGACCCCCCCCCTCGCTTTAAATGTACGTTTCAGCGTGCAGCTCGGTTTCTGCGTGAGTGGCGACGGTGAGGGTGAGCTTCGTCATGTGGAAAACTGTAGGCTTCTGACAGCTTGGCGCTGTCTCCGCGCCCCCCCCTCCCCGCCCCGCGCCCCGGGCGGAAGGTGTGGGTTGGGTGGTCCGAGAAGGGTGACGTGCGAGGCGGGGTGGGGACAAGCTTGGGATCCCTCAGAGCGCCGGGGTCCGCAGCCCAGGACGCCGGCGAGCGCCGTGTCAGGGAGGAGGCGGCCACGTGAGGGGGTCTGCGGAAGCGCTGGAGCTGAAAGCTGGGGGCGAAGTGCGTAGCAGAGTCGTGACGGGGGCTGACACGCAGCGGCCGGGGCCGCCCCCAGAGCGCGGCGCGGCGGGGTTGGCTCGGCCGCTGGGCCGGGCGCCTCCCACGCAGGGCCGGCGTTCGCGCCGCGGGTGGGTGCGCACTCGCGGGCCGGCTCCCCGGAGACCGTTTCCGGGCGAGGGCCGGGAGCGCAGGCGCGGGCGGGGCCGGGCAGTAAACAAGGTGGCGCCCTCTGCCCTCCCGCCCCCGGCTGCCGTGGCGCGCGGCCGGCGGCGCCCGGAGCGGCGGAGGCGCGGCCGCGGCGCCGGGCAGTGGCGGTGGGGGCGCGCGCGTACCCGCCCGCTCCCCGGCACCCCCGCGCGCTCCCGCCGCCGGGCCGGCCTCCTCTGTTTTTGTTTTGAAGGAGACCGCGTGCAGCTGGCGCGTGTCAAGTCACGTGCTGGGGCGAGAGGGGGCCGGGCGCGAGGAGGGGTCGACGCCCCCGACTGACCCGGCCGCGGCGTCTCCAGGCAGGATCTTCTGGAACTGGTCGCAGTTGGTCCTCGGTGACCGGTATTTGGGTTCGTCGTCACAGCCTCCACGCGGGCGTCGCCCACCCCCCCTCCGGGCTGGACGCTGGTCTGCGCTGATCGACTTAGAAATCCAGGGGACCTCACAGGTGTGTGTTAGTAGTGAGGACCTAGAGAAAAATGTAGTTCTTAACCCTGACTGCACTTAAAACCAACCCGAGAGACTTAAACATAATTCTGACACCCAGGCAGTCCCCACATCAACCGAACCCAAATCCAGGTGGGGCCTGGGCAGAGTGTATTTTTAACACTCCCACCCGTGATTCTGATGGATAGTGAGGAGTGAGAACTTAAAGAGGGAACGAGCTGAAATGGACGACATAGGGAAGAAATAGTAAAATTAATGATAAAGTAATTAGCAGTTACTGACATGTCACCAAGGGAGGTCCCTCTCTGCCAGGCACTGTAGTTGTCCCTGTTTTACAGCCTGGGAAAGGAAAGCTTAGGAGGTTAGGTGAGAGTTGATCTGGAAGGACACCCTGACTAGTACCCAGGGAGGCCAATCTTGGAGCCCATGCTTTCAAGCATGAATCCAGAGTTTAAAATGTACTTTTGCAGGGGCTGGGGATTTAGCTCAGTTGGTAGAGCACTTTCCCCATGTACTGGTTCAATCCCCAGCACCACAAAACAAAAACTAAAAAACCTACATACCTTTACTTAACTAAGACCACGTGAGTTTTTACACACACATTTCCACTGTTAAGGGTTTGGTTTGGAAAGTTTTACTTGTTTGCAAGGGAGGGATCACTTTGGTGAACTCTTTAAGACCTGCGGGCTCTCTTTTCTAGAAGTATACTGTGAAGAAAGGCAAGAGGATCCCAATAATTTGAGGAGAATAAATTCCCTGCAAGTATAGTTTTCTGTTTTTGAGTTGAATGTATGTATAAAACGGAGGGGAGGAGTCCAGAAACTGCAGATGCTTTCCAAGTATTTACATGAGTAGAAGGTGTGGACACGGTGTGGTTTTGGTGGTCACAGGATGGATGTAGCCCCAAAGTGCCATGCAATGTACAGAGTAAGAGAAGTTCTGCCATGAAAGTTTTGGATGGGGGCGGAAACCCCAAAACAAAACAAACCAAAAACCCAACTTCTTTGGTCTTGAATAGAAAAAATTCACTTCTCCCCTTGGTTCATTTGTTTCCCTGCCAGGCAAACTCTTGGGGGAACATTGGTGTGTGTGTGGGGGGGTGGGGATGCGTGATTCATTTGTTTTGAAGTGTATTCATTGATATCTCCTCGGGATATTTCAAGTAAAACAGAAAACAAGTTTCTCTCTGAAAACAAAGGATTTTAGTTTGTGTTAGTCTGGTACTGTGTCTTTTAAGAATTTTCCTTTCGTTCTTCTGATTGCTATCAAATATTGTTGGTTGTATGGTATATTAGTTTTAAAGCGTTAAGAACTGGTTTTCATGTTGTTTGCAGTTTTGGTAAGGGACATTTAAAGGTCTGCCCAAGCAGACCAGACATGAATGTGAGTATCTGAGGTCTGGGTGGGAGTAGGTCACCAGCCTGGGCTCCCTCTCTCCCTCCCATCCCCTTATTACCACAACAAGTTTCTTCCAGCCTTGCCAGTCCACGTGGGGTTCATTTGCATAGCTCTACTTATTTTGCTCTTTCACTTTTGGGTACCTCCTTGAGGAAATTTTCTCTGGTTTCTCCTCAGAAACCATGGAAAAATATCTTCTCCATATCATCTTTATTTCTCCGTATTAACCTCATATTTATCCCAGCATATGGTATTTTTCCATGTTGCACACCTCTTCTAAGTTTGGTTCTTTAAAAGGGGCAACAGTGTTTTTTTTTTAATCTGTGTGTCACTGTCACAAAACTTTTATTGCATATGTCCCAATTGAATTTACTTCCATTCAAGTTATGTTATTGGTATTGGTATTTGCTCATGTCACCCATCTTCATTCTGAACTGTTTCTCATCTCGTCCTTGTCTTTGAACTACTTAGCTAAAAGCACATTCTTACCCAGGATGAGAATACAGTGCTACTGACACTCTTTTAAAAGGAATAGAAAAAAAGGGGGCTGAACATAATGTTTTTCTCTTGTTTTCTAATTTTACTCTTCATCTGCCATTTGGACAGTGTGGATTTTCTTGGTGAAATATTCACTGTTGATACTACTTTTCACCTTATTTGGGCAGGAAGAAATGGTACTACATTAACTGCCATAGCAGAGACCACAGATGGTTCATCATGTTTCATTAACTGTAATTTTCAGGTTCAGTATACAGAGGTATTTGTAGAGCAGCACCATCTTGGAGAGCTTTCTGGGATGATCAAAATGATTTATAAAGCTACATCACCTAGTTTGTTAGCCTCTAGTCACTTGAAGCCACTAAGTACCTTAAATGCAGCTAGTATGACATAGGAACTGAATATCTGATTGATACAGCTGCTAATGTTTTGGATAGCTCTATTACAGAGGATTTGCTTATTTTTAAATAAGCAACTATTTAACAGATAAACATTTAAGCTAAGATACTCTACCTCTAAAAGAAAGATCTTGATTCATCTTCTAGGGTTTAACACTAATATTTCCCCTTCATAGACCATATGGTGCTTGCTGAATGATATTTTTGACTTCTGCAAGGCCAACGTTTGTCCCTTCTCTGAGCTGTTCAGGAAGTTCATGTCTCTTTTTCAGGAATACAGTGGGGAGGTTGGGAGTAATTATGAATATGAGCAATTATTTACAAATGGACATGAGCCCTTGTTGTATAAACAAGTGAAAGTGCTGTAAGTTGAATTAATAGTTTAATCAGACTGTGAGGGGCAGGGACAGTATTTGTCTTGCTGGTCATTGAGTCTCCAGTGCCTAGTGTAGTGTTTGGCACATAGGAATGCTCATAAATATGTGTTGAATCGAATAATGTTCAAGTAATTTAATCCCTGCAGTTTAGCTTCAGAGGGTATATTGTATAGTTGGTGGTATGGCAGGTTCCCTGGAAGTATTGTTTTCTTTTTAGAGTTGAAGAAAAGGCTGAAGGCCAGTAACTATACTGAC